CTTGCTCGAGGCTGCTTCAAAAACTTGTTTTACGGGATCCGAAAGCGACGTTAGCCATCTAGGCCTGCACCAAGAAAACAATTTTTGGACGATTTTTGGTCTCGAATTAGATGATGGAAAGGCAGAGCGAAAGAAATCGCCGGAAGCCTTGGAGAGAGGATACGAGCATGGTATTAAGGGTATAAATTGTTTTTGGATGAATTTTAGTTTAGAAATAGGGTTTGCTGGAAGTCGCATTACGACCTTTGTTTTTGAGTAATGTTAAATATCCAAATACGACTCGACGTCGCAAACAGTGGGATAAAAGCGTTTCTAGAGGTCCAAAAGCGAAAAAAAGGGTTTATTCGAGGTTGCTTCAAAAATTTGGTTTACGAAATCCGAATGCGCCATTAAACATCCAGGCCTACACTAAGAATACAATTTTTGGTCTCGAATTAGATGGTAAAAAGGCGTAACGAAGCAAATTGCCGGGGGGGCCTTTCGCTTCTCCTACCGACAAATGCAAAACCGCTCGGAACACAACAATCTCATCGGCCCCCCGGCTCCCCCATCAAAACCTTCAACAACAACCAGAATCATGCATCGGGAATCTCGAAGCCCCCACCGCGATTCCCCAGGTCCTGTAGACCCAAGATCGGCGGCGGGGGGCGTAGTCCTTACAATCCGGGCGCCGGCCACGAAGCCCGTGCCCTGCCCGGAGGGCCTTCGGTGCTAACCGAAGATTATAAACGGTCGCGCCGGCTGCCGCCGACCCTCGGTCCCAAAACGGGGAGGACGACCGGTCAACTGAAGCCCCTGTAATTTACAGTGTATCGTATGTGGGAAGTATACTCTGGATTTTACAGGGTTTATTGCGGCATATCGAAGTACGACGCGGAGAAGAGGAAAAAATGCAAAAATGCTGTGTTTTTCAAGGGTGGTGTCGGTAATGCGGGCCGGGCGGACAGGCTTAATCGACATTTTGTGGGTAGAGGCCCTCCAGACGATTTACATTTCCTAACATATCCCCAACATAGGCCCAAGATAGCCATCATATCCCCAACATATGCCCAACATAGCCTCCAAAATGGCTCAACATAGGCCTAACATAGGCCCAACATAGGCCCAACCTAGGCCAACATAGGCCAACATAGGCCTAGCATAGGCCAACATAGGCTCAACATGGGCCCAACATGGGCCCAACATGTACCACATAGGCCCAACTTGGCCCAACCTAAGCCCAAGATGCGCATCAAATAGCTTCACTTTGCTCAATATAGGCCCCAGCAAAGCCAACATAGGCGCGCCATGCTCCCCACAGACCCAAGTGGCCGGCGCCCGGCTGTCAGGCGTAAGCCTTTAAATTAATATTCCAAATATCATCCATTTATTTCATTTCATCGAACCACCCTATTATATTGCCGTATCAATACCCCCTACCGCCCCCCGTACATCCACAAGTTGTTAAATCATTCCGTTTCATGATTATTGAGTTTACAAATAATTTTTAATATTAAAATATTTTAACATCTTTGTTTAAATGCTCAGAAGTATTACATCTTTGATGCCTCAGTGAGAGGGAAAAAAAATAGAAAAGAAGTCCCATTTCTTTATATCAAGGTTTATAGTAATTTTTGGTTGTTCAAAATCACATATAATCTCAGAGTCTAAGAATTCTTTGGAAAGTTGTATAACGTTTACGTGCCCCCGTGGCCTCAACAAAAAACAAACAAATTGCATCTCCAGTAAGAACGCTTTCAAAATGTTTCAACTGGACGTTGCACCTTCTAGCTAGGAGGAGGGACCGTGAAAGTTTACCCCCAAGAATGCATAGGAACTGGGCTCCTCACCAGATTGGAGGAATGCGAAGCCAAACAAAGCTACAGTCCAAAGAGTCGTGCCTCAGTTGGGGCACAGGCAAGTGTAATGTACCACAATACGTCAGTTTATCAGAGTTGCATGGGCTCCCATTGAAATCCCGCACACACAATGGCTCGCTGCCTCTTCAAGCAACAGCACTCAACAATTACTGAGGATATTGGTCGGAATACAATGAAAAAACAATAGGCAGGAACCGTGCAACTGGCCAGGCCAGGGCCACTCCCTTCGGACAGAAAAATCTCTCACAGGGTTGGAAAGGATGATTGGAAGAGCAGCTCTCCTAGATAAGAAATTGATCAAGAAACATCAAGTAGGATAATAAAGGTATATAGAGAGAGAGAGAGAGATTCCTTATATATGTAGTTTTCTTGAAGTTCCCGAAACAGCCCGTTGTGGCTTCGGTCTGCTTCCGGAAGGTCAGAAAGCTGTGGCTTGTCTGAGGCACCAAACGTCGCGCGCATACCTGCCAATGCTTTGCTGTAAGTTCACCAGGAGAGAAACTTTGAAAGGACGCAAAATTATGCAAATTAAACAATCTGAAATCTCAATGTTATGTTTGACATGTTTAATCATGGATCACCGTAGTTGTCTGGCCAAGCATTCTTTAGAGATCCTTTGAGCAAGTCGAGGATAACTTTTCACGCTCAACTGACTCAACTTAGAGCTCTGCGCACCTCACCAGTCCGAGATTGTAGCAGCCTTGACATACGATGCACAATGTGAAGTAACCCTGTGCACACTGCAGTCTAGAGCTGCAGCGGTGTCTTGGGAAGGTCAGCCAGCCTTTTCAGAAGGTCCTCCATGGAGTCAGCACGGCAGTGCGTCTCTATCGAATTGATGTCCTCAGCTTGTCTTCACTCCAAGCACCACTCAAACACATATCGGCATGACCGCGTGACATTGGCCCTCGAAGCCCTGGCCTCGTGAACATCCGTGCTTCTTTGGAGAAACCAAACTGCCTCAGTTCTAGAGCTGCGAGCATTGGGCTGCTTCAAAATCCGTGCTTCTATCTTGCTGCTTCAAAATGTCGCGGTTGCACATCGTCTATATAGTCTAGACTTTACTGAAGCCTGCCTACTCTACCTACACAGTGCCACAAAAATCACAAAGAACCACATCGCATGTTCCACCAGCTCAGCAGCTCACTGGAGCCTTTCCCAAGAAAATTGTAAAAGTCTGTGCTTTGTGAAGACACCAACAGGCTTCAGAATGCTTGTGGTCTGGCTTGAGATTCACGAGACATTTTACCCTTCGTTGAGAGTCATCTTCCAATCTTCCAATCCTCTGGGCTCTTGGGCTCCTTAGCTCCTTGCATCTAGATTTGCATCCTCGAGATCTGCTTCAGCTGTCTCCTTTCGGCCCATAGAGTCCATGAAGCAATCCCAAAAAGCATTTCGACCAATTGGCCGTGTTGCAAACAGATTCTTGAAGGCTCTGAATATTGCAAGAAACATGTATGAGGTACGTCAAAAAATTCCAAGGACCATTTTTGGCTGGTTGATTTGACCCTGGCAAACGAAGATCGAAGTCACCTCAAAACACATGTCCCTTAGTATCAAAATGACCCTGCGTCCTGACTGAGGATGGCGATGGGTTCGAGGAAAACATCCAAGCTGATTACAAGGGCCAGCAAGGCCACCTGGTAGGGCTAAGTGTCTCCAATCGCACAACGAGCATTATTGGAGTCATACAAACGTCAGAGATGGATTTGGGTGTTCACGTGGGACAGCTGCTATATATTCGGATTTACTGTGGTCATGGCATCTTGCTTTCGCCAAATGCCAAATAGCACGCATGGCAACTGCTGCCGAACATGCTCATGTTCATCACTATTGCCAGCGCTGCTGCCACAAGCTAGCAAACCTAATTGCAGTTTGATTTTGCGAAGCTGGTGTCCATGGCTTCATGTGTATTTGCAGTATTAATTGAGCTTTCTTACGGATCTGGTGCCTGTTGTACGTTCTAGTAAATTCCAAAATAGACTTGTGGCCGATTGCGTTTCGAAGGAAACTGTTGCATGAAATGGGCACTCTTGCACGCTGTCCTCTCAATTGTAGTGCACGCATTCACCGTGGGTGTGGCGGGCACACCACCAATTCTGTGGTCCCTTGGAACCACGGATCGAAGTTCCGCAGTTTCTAACTGCAAATTTGTGGCAGGCGCATTTTTGAGATGTGGGTGTTTGGATGAGGGCTCTGATTTCGTGGCTAGTGCAAGCAGCCATTAACGTCTGAAGACTGTGTGTAAATTCATCTCTTCTGCAAGGCTCAACGGCAGCCACAGCCTTTTAAACTTGT